TCAAAACTTAGTACCCCAGTTTGGTGGCGGGAGGAAACAACCTCCAATTTGCAAACATGTCTGCATTTAAAAAATCACAGTAAACTGCAGCATCCCAGTAGTTTTCAATCACGCCTCAAGTGCAAGGGGAATGCATAAGCAATTCATGCCTGTAAGGAACAAACTTCTGTTTGTCATGGCATTTTTGTGGAACCAGTTTCCACAACTTTCTCAATTACTAAACTATTTTTGAAAGTGCAAAATAAAACAGTAGTCACCGAAACCTTTGCTGTCATGGATGGCAGCTAAGCAACCACATTGGAAGACTAACTGCATATATACACATGATCAAATGCTACCTGTTTTAGAGCTGTAATCCTATATTATAGACCTTACTGATAACAAAATCAACCAATTACAGTTAAGCAAGGGGGATTTTGTGCAACACTTGTCACTGTTAACCCTGATGATTGAAAACAATCCTCCTTACACAAATATAGTTTGCTTACCTTTTCAGATCTTGGAAAAGGCAGGAACCCTCTTTTCCAAACTCTGGTTGGAACAATAATGCCCCTCAATTTCCCTGATAGTCAGGAAGATCACCCTCTTCAGCAACCCACCACAGTATTGCTCTAGTTTGGGCAACTTCTCTGACATCTGTCCTGTCTTTTGGTTAAAGCAGGACCGAAGAAATTGAATACAACACTTCAGCACCATGCTAGGAGAGCAACCAGGATTCATGAAAGCCGCCAAAATGTTACCTGGTTGAGAGCCAAACTGCACAACATATTTTTGGTCAGTTGGGTCTAGACATTTTGCACTGTGTAGCTCCAGTCTCCCCCAAGCAATTTTGTCTCCAGAAAATGGTGCGGGGGGGGGGGGTTGAGGCAGGAGACCCTCCTCCCCTAAAGGTACAGTTCCAACCCAAATTGGGTTCCCACCAGCTTTTAAAATTATATCCTGACAGCTACTAAGTCATGGTGATGAAAGTGAGATGCATCTGGGGAACCTGGATCTGGCTCACCAAAACCTGTATTGTGTAGCTTGGCCCTAAATCAGCCTGCTTTGGAAACTTGTAAAGAGAGCCTTCCAGGCTGTACTGAGAAGTACTGCAACTCAATAGCAGGCTCTCCATCAGACCCCCTAAGTAAATGCCAAGGAAGAGGATGCATATAGAGGCATTCCTTTGTAGCCTTCTCCCCCATGTCCAGGACCAGATACAAGTAGCACACAGTCAAGACACAACCTGTATAGAGCAGACAGGTACTAATATGGTAAGTGGAAAGTGCTGTTAAAAAACCCCCCACAGTTTAGCATTATACTACTTTCATCACTAGAATTCTGGCACTTCCCATCAATAAATTCGTTTAAAGCTTACTGAAAGTCCCCCCCCCAAAAAAAAAAATATATGGGAGCAAGAGGTCAAAAGTCATCAAAAGGCTAATTTTATCCAAAAGTCATAAAAATTTTCTTCTAAGAACAACCAAGATGTTGAGAAATAATTTTACTCTTTTATGCATGTTCAAAATTCTTTTACTGGATTTACTTTGATTGTTGAAGTCTACTTGTTGGTTTATAAATGATGATCCTACATCTTGGACTAATCTACAGCCAAAATTTTCCAAGAAGCCTCTGGATTTTATTAAAATGTTTTTAAAGATAAAATTGAAAAGATTTCTGATCATATAGCTATGGTATGAATGTGTGTAACTTTGAACTTAACAGCGGCTTAAGATACAGAACTTCCCAAACTAGTACACTGGTGTATAAGCCATTTGGCAAAATACCAGGGTACCCAATTTTTAGTTATGATGCTTTAATAATGAAACAAAGAATGCATACAATATGTCACATCTTCTAACATGGTATATTACAAGGCACAGGAAATTCTCTCCCAGGCTTTAAAGAGATTATGAAGTAGTTACTCACTGGTGACCATGAACTAGGTTAAATTAGGGAGGTAAATAAGAACTTGCCCTTTCACAAGTAAAAATTGCCTTCAGTCAACTTGACAAGGAAGTTTGAAAAGTTAACTCTTTCTTCTGGGCTGTAAAATATTTCTTCCAGGCTATAAATCCTTAAAGGATAGACTCCAGCATAAGTCAGTTGTCAAATCGTTACATGCATTCCTTTATTAAAGGCCTTACTTTCTTGATGCATAAATCATTTTAGCTTTACATAATTCCAAAGCATAAAGAGATTGTCAACTTTTTCTAATGTGAAAGCCCTGGAAGCGGTTGCATTTTTGTAATTATATAACCTTTAATAAATCATTAGCTACTTAACAAGATTTTAATAAGAACTTTCTTTACCCCAGAACTTTGCCTATGGAACTGGAAACCTAGTATTTTTAATCAATCCCTCCAGTACATACATAAACTTTTATATTAAGCATAAACTTTGATTTTAAAGGTCAATTTTAATACCAGTTCTGAAAATAAAGACATGTTCAGAACAAGACAACTTTGAGCTCATATATAAATGGGGGAAATGCCCTCCATATTATTCTGTCATTTTCAAAGGCATCTATTTCATAAATGTACTCTGAAGAACTTGAGTGCAGTTTACATGAAATATCTGTTATTTCATTTAAGAAGTTGATTCTTCTGAGTCACAACACACAGATGTAGTTGAAGTGGGGGAATGCAGTCTAGTAACTTCTGCAGACCCATCTGCCCGGTTAGATCAGGGCATCTTTTGAAATTAGCACTTAACATATGGTAAAAAAAAGATCCTTGCTAAATGTTAGATTACATTCTTAAATATTACATTGTTCCATAACATACCTAAAATCCACTTATACCAATGTGTTCTCCAACTAACTGCAATCCTAAGAACACTTTCCTGCAAATAAGGCCCATTAAGTATACCTAAGGAGGGTTCCAGAATATTTGTTACAGCTTTATAAAACCTGTTTAGGATTACTCTCTGGTATATATAATAAATATCTCTGGATGAATTCTTATTTCAATAAAAGATGCATTACAGTAGAAACATGTTTTCCCATCACTGCGTATTTTCTTCTAAAAGTATAAATGATTTATGCCAATTAATTCTTGTTTCAGTGACAGAAGTGCTCACTATACAACGTGTTGAAACTTTGTTAATATTTGTACAAAACTTTTTTGTGTAACAGAGCTGGGACTTAACCCTGTTTCATCCCACACATTCTGTATTTTGTTTCACATTAAGGCAGCCTGTCTCACCATTTGATAAGAGACATGGGTAAAGATTACACATTCTTCTTCTATTGAATTTCTGTTTGTGTTTTGCTCACATGACTGTGATGTCATCAGTTCAGTGTTTCCATGAAAAATGGCCAAGAAGTGAAGGAACAGGAAAAAACAGTTTTAACAATCCAGTGATGAGCACTATTTTTTCTATGTCAAACATATTAAATAGCAGATGGCCTTAAAAGACTGACCCTGACTTCAACTACACAACAATAAAGAATTAGGGAAGCCAAAAATGTGCTTAACACATACACTTTTGCATCAGACACTAACCAGAAACAAGTGCCACTGTGGTTTCGCTTACAATTCCAACTCCCTAAGTGTTCTGAGCTGAGAACTCGAGTACACAATCTAGGGAACCCAAAAATGCTTAAAACAAATAGTTTACTGCATACAGACAGCAACACTTTGTAAAATGTAGCACACTTGCAGACTGAATTAGCTACCAGAGGGGGGGGGAGCCCTGGAAGATATGACAAGCCACGTTTTAAACAAAATAAATTCTACTAGAATATCTGTTACAGCTTTGTAAAACATTAATAAACAGGTTACATAAATCTTGTAGATTAAGGCGTTATGGATCAATACTGTTGCAAAACATGATGCCAGCCAGTAGTTAAAGAAGTGATTATGTGTAAATTCATTAAACCCCTCTGAGACATTTTAGCGAGCCTTCAACATTTTAGCATCTGATGAGTCATAAGTATAATCAGTGATTTATGTAATATTCACTAACCCATGAAATCAAGTAATATAACTGAACAGCAATTGCAATTTGCCTTAAAGCATAAAGCAACCCACAGAAAAACCCATTCATTCACTTGTTTTATGCTCCTATCCCTGCAATGGAAAACCACAAAACAAGAGATGTTCTTGAATGACCGGGTCATCATGTTGACAAAGCCACCACCCCGCTCATGGAAACGCTTTGAAATTAAACCACGTTGTCTCAGTCCTATTGTGCACCAAATCTATTTCCTATAAAGCCCAGTAAGGACTGAGATAAGCCACAGCAATGCTCGCCTCCATTCGCATACCAGCTCTCCACTCTTCCCCCACGAGGCACTGAAGTAAGCGCTCAGCAAAAGGATTCACTCAAACAAGTAGCGCTGAAATAGCATAAAAATACAAGACAGCAAGCCACTCCCGGACACCCATTTAGAAACGCCTAGACTCGGGGAAACCGGGGCCTAGAAGAGAACGCGATTCCCGGGCACGCACGAAGCCAGGAAATGGCAAGTCTTCCAGCTGAGATTCCTCCTCCTCGGACCGTGTGGTACCTCCGGCGAGGCACTTCTACCACACACGCCTCTCAACTTCCTGCATCGCCTCACTCCACACCTCTTTTCCTTTTGCAGAGGACTCCTGATCTTCCTGCATTCCTCTGTCACTGGCTTCTCGCCCAGGTTCATTCTGGGGTTCAGCCTGGGTCCTCCTTAACTGTAAAGGAGCCGAATCAAGAGCAGACTCCCGTTTCTTCCG